AATTACAACGCTACATGCTTAGAATGAGAATGATCTGGAGGAAGTCAAATGAGACTAATAAATTCAAAACTACTCCACAATTTAAAAAAAAAAACAACATTGAATTAGGAGCAGAGATGTCTGCATGTTGAAAGATCAGACTTCAGAGCAGGGGGAGGGACTTTTTCTTCCCTAAACCCAGTTGTTTCTGATCTCTGCCTTGTCGTTTAGCACGCTGCCAGGTCTCTGTTTATATAAACAGTGCTGAGCTCTTGTAGCCTATAGAGTAGCAGATAAGAGACCCCTGTATAGCACTAATTTTCCCATATGTCTCACTCTGGGCTTGTCTCTGTTACCAATTGATTGATTTTTATTATGACCTAAACTTATTATCATTTTTTCCTATTTTCCGTAATAACTTTTCCTCACAGTTTACTAAGATATCCATTTGCTGTGAAATTTCATCACCGGTTAATGTTCTGAAAGCATTTCTGAAGCTGAAAACATACCCCAAATTTAGTCTATTTTTTTTGTTTGTTTTTGCAGGTTTAATAACTAGATTAATAACAACGGCTGACTGTCTTTCATGTCTTCTATTGCATATGGTTTATCAGATTCTCAATTTTGCTGATAATGACCAATAACTTTCCAACTTTCCTAATTTTTTTTTTTTTTTTCACTGATGTCAAGCAAAAAATATCTACAGACGATGCTTGTATAATGGCAGATAGTGGCAATGAAATGGGAAAAAATATCTTCTGCTTTTTTTCAGTAATGTTCAACATGTGGCAGGTGCTTCCCAAATATATAAAAAAAAGAGAGTCTCTGTTTAAAATAATACAGGTAATGTCTAAGGCCATTTTGTGTGAGGTTCTTGTAACCAGTGAGAGAAATGGTTCCTTCCAAGGATTTCATTTCAGATAAAAGGGAGATTTTGCAGCTGAGGCCGAGAGATGGAGAAATTGCTTGGCATTGGTGAAAAGGCTAGAAAGAGCAGTGAAAGTATTGCAAGACAAAGAGATCTAGGGAGAAATAATACTGTGTAAAATCCTGAAAATGGCTTATGGAATATAAAATTTCTCAGGGAGCTGTATTCCAGATTTAGCAGATGTGTACTTAGTTCCCAGATCTCAGAATTTCCTACATGAAATGGAATGATTCATATAATCTATCTGTATCTGAGATTTCTATCTGTAATATGAAAAAGAAGAGATGAGAGCCAAAGAAATTTAAGTCAGATGAAAGGAAAACTTGTATCTTGCAAGACATATGTAGTAATCTTAGTAATCCTTCTAATCTACTCAGTGGCTTTAGCCAACCTCCTCAGTGTTGTACAACATACTTTAAAAGAGTTGTGAACAGCTGGAAGGAGACCAGAGAAGAGAAGCAAAAATTATTCTAGAGATCTAGGAAATATCACCCACAAGAAAGACTGAAAGCAATTTAGTTTTTGAATCTTGAGAAAAGAGGGAATAGAAAACTCAGGAGAAACAAGACAAGTACAAATGTATAAAAAAAAAAAAAAAAAAGTGTTTTCCATACTGTAGTGAATAGGCCAAGCAATAGTAATGTAATATGAAAAGAAGGAGATCTAGAAATTAAAATAAAATTTCTACTAATGTGTTTTCTGAAGAACAAGAAGTTGTTGTATGAGAATGCTGCAGAATCTGCTTTATAGGAGACCCTTCTCTAACAGTGTGACAGATCCTGGCCAGGAATGACATGATTTAGGAGCTGCCACTGATGTCAGAGTGACCACAGTTAAATATTTATATATTAGAAAATAATGATACAGTGATGAATCAAGCATTCATCATCCCAGTGTTGCATGGCAAGAGGATGTTTGCAGTTCTATCTGTCAGGATACTGATCAGGAGAAAGGTATCCTTCATTTCGTTTCAATTTAATTTTTAAATGGAAATTAATGTAATTTTGGTTCAGAAATATTTCCTTCTTTAATATGTTTTGAATGCATAGCTATTACTGTAGGAGATGCCTCATTAAAATCTGCCTGTTTTGCTTCAGAGTAAATCTCATAAAATTTGCAAGATTTCTTTTAATCAGTTAAATTGGAAATCAGTGTCAGATTGCACTGCTTTCTTCCTCTTGTTATTAAGGGACTTGGACTATTAATAATTTCTTCATTACTTAAATTTAATCTGGAGGTATCTTGAAATGCACCACTGGTGTTTTCATTAAAGGAAAGAAAGCAAGCTTTGATTTTCAGAGGTGGATGTTGCAAACAGTAGGTCATTATGGTTAAGGCTCTTTTTGTTTCCTTTGAGACATTAGTCTACATGGCACATGGATTTTAATTGTAAAATTATAGAAAAACGAATTTTGATAAAGGAAATTGCTAACATACTTTTAAACCTCTATTTCTGAAAATCATAAGGACTCAGCCACATCCTATTTGTATATGTAGGAATAAGAATATCTATGAAAAGAAACGCAAAGTCAACAGGACCTTGAGAAAGCACTGACAGAATAATCTTTCAGAAATAGCTCCTCTTCACTGCGAGGCAGCTCTCCACTCAGGCTACCTCTGACTTATTTTCTCTATTTTAATGCTGAGAAGTGTTTCTTTTTGTGAGGTCGACCACTCTCAATGGAGACAGTGAGTGCTCCCTGGGCTGAGGGTGACATGACAGTTGTGTTCAAGTTGTGTTTCACTCTTTTCCTTCCTGAGGGATTCATCATTTGTGGTTGCCATAGGTAGGACTGATATTAGCAGCCACACCTTGGGGTCAGATCTTCTTTATTTCAAAAGTTGTATTACTAAGGAGTTCTATTACCAAAGTTTTCAGTTCTTCTATTTCTTTAATTCCATTTAATCTGATTTCAGATTGCATATTGGTTGCAATAATCAGGGTATCCGAGACCTAGATAAAGACCCAGAACACTTTTTGTTTCATTGTCTTCCCCTCCAGCATGGCAACAGAAAGGGCCTGGTGCTGCTTCTTCTCTCAGATCATTCAGCCCCAAGGAAAAACTTGCAGAGAAAAATCATATTAAAGATTCCAGAACACTGAAAAAAAAGTCAAAGCACAGCTAAACCTAAGACCTTTTAGAAGTCTCAGAATTTTCTGCAGTTTTGGCTGGAGTTTGTAGATGTTTGTTGGCTCTTTGGCAAAGAATTAGACATGTTGCCCAGTTCTGCTGTCTCAAAGCATGGCTGAGCTTATGCCCATTTGGCTAAATCCTCTTTCTCTCTCCAGAAACAAGAAACCCAGATCCCTTCAGGGTGGCATGTCCATACTGCACACAGGAATTGCACTCTATCCCAGGCATTTCCAAAAGCCTATTTGTTGTTATGGGCCAAAATCTTGCCTGTGAGTGTGCCAATAAATAGATTGAATGACTCTCCCACAGTGCACAAAACTCTACCCAAGCCCCATTTAATTTACTTGCATAACCTAGACTTTCTGTCTGTACTATTCCTTTCTTGAAACCTGCCTTGATTATTTAGATGATGAGCACTTGTGACAGGACTTTGTGTTTGTGCTTTGTGGTTTATTTGCACACTGGCATAGTAAATAATAATTTGGAATATAATGATGAGTTACAGTGCCCATAACTGGCAAATTATACTCATTCAGAGATCTCCATAATGTCCATCTTTGTCAGTTCTGGAGATCAAATGACCTGACATCTGTTAGAAGCTAGGATTTACATACAGAATAACTGCTTGAGACAATTAGGGTAAGGCTTTGGTCATATGGAAGGCTGCAGGGAAACACAGTGAAACAACTTAAGATGTGAATAGACATGAGAACATCTCTACTGGTCATCAGTAAAACATCTTAGGGCTCTTATTAAAAACTAGTTACTCATTTAGTATTCCAAATATCTATGTTGAAAAACATATTTTGTCCTTTAGAGTAGTATGGCAAATATGATTTTATATTTCCTTTGTGTTCCTGCTTGCATTCCCTAAGGTGATGTCCATTCGAATATTACATTTCTAAAATATGTCTGACTGTCCAGGACCCTGATAGAGCACATAAACCTTCCAAAAGGAACTTGTCTGACCACAGAACCTCAGCACTTTACAAGCCATGTCTGCTGCCACTTGCATCTACTGATGGGATTAATCTATTTTCTTTTGCACTTTTAATTCTTAATAGATTTGGAGCAGAAATAGATAACTAATTTCTGGCTTGTTTACACTCAGATGAAGTATTTGAATTGGGGTACCTTTGAAAGCGAATATGCTGTTCTCTGAAATAACCCTTTGGCTTTTTCAGTAAAGCACTACTATAGACAATTCACAGCTAGGATTACTTCACCAGAACTAGTTTCTCTCATCCATGTGGAGTGTGACCAACAGATTATCCAGGCACTTAGACTCTAATGTACCTAATCATAGACAAACAAGAGAAAACAGTTAATAAGGCTCTGTATAGAAATTGCTGTGGTTGCAAAACAGAGATTTCAAATGTAAATGTTACTCTGCCTCTCAGCAATGTATCTGACCTGAGAAAAACGGAGTCCTATTCATTAACGTATATGGCATTGCACAGAAAGGGATGGAATGATTTATTATTTTTCAGCCGGTACTTTTCAACATTTCTTGTTATTCATAGCCATAGAAAATCATCCAGTTAATATACAGATACACTTTACCTAACATAGGAAATAAATTGATTTAATATGTTAACATAGTGCTTGTCCAATGTCTAACACAGAAACTCTTCTACAGATTCTCATGTGGCTGCCTACTGCTCCTTCATGAAACCCCATGTTCTTGTCGTACCTTAGCTGTCTAGATCAGACTAATAGTAACCATTAATTACTGCTATTCAGTAAGTTATGCCTCAGCTGAGATATGGTAGGCTGCTCTGAAGGTGCTCTTGCGTCCTAAAACAAGAAATAATATCTATTATGTCACATATGTCATGGCCTAAGAATAGATGTAAACACAATCATTTACTACAGCCCTGATGATGAATGATAACTCATTAAATAGCTGTAATTTGGTGATCATTCTAACCCTACTTTCTATCCATTTTGTGAAACAGGACCATTTTGTGTCCTGTGATTAATAGGATGATGGGTCCCCAACACAGGACCTCTCAATACACAGTAGGAACTGTGTCACAGGTTCTGAGTTACAAGGATGAACCTCCCAGAAACCTCAATGGGATTTTCACTTCATAAAATTAAAAGAAATTTTTACCATAAATCATTAACACTTGACCTAAGATGTGGGGACTGAGAAGGAACTTAGTGAAGAAGGAGAGATGAAGACAAGATACATCAAAAGACTCCAAGTAGGTAGGTGACCTTATTATATGATATCCAAAGAAGATGAAAGAATTTGCTGACCTGAAAATGAACATAAAAGAGTGAAGATGTATAATCCACAGTTGCACAACAGAGAAAGAAATGCCTGTAATGTCTTAATTTGTAACTGCGGATGATAGCAAATAAGACTCTCATTTCTCTTGATAAAGGCATGAGTCTGTATTGCTATCACTTATTATTAGCCTCTTTATTTGCTTAGTACTAGGCAATTTGCATTAAGAGCCTATTTTTCCCTCTTCTATTTTGTTTGTTTTTCAAATGAATTTATGTTCACTGTGGGAGGCAGCATGAGAAGCCCTGGATTTAGCCACGGAGAATAAAAAGCAGTCGGCAAATTTCCTTTTCGGTCCCCCGCTGATTTGCCAGAAGAAAAAAAAGATCATTTAGTCACCATGCGCATTCACTTCTCATCATCTCTGGTCCCAACGCAGGGGGTCAGTAAAATTTCAGCAGGATTGCCAGTTAGTGCTAAACATGCTGCTGTCTTTTTTGGGGGGGCTGCGGATCTTCAGGTTTAATTCTCAGTTCAAAAGCCCCGCTCTTGCCATGCTGTTTGCAGGTTATCTCATTGATTTGTACCTAGTTAACTTGTTATCTTCTCCTAGTCCCATAATTTTTTTGTCTTTTGGGAAACTGCCAAGGCAAGGTGCCTCTACCTGTATGTCTGCAAAGTGCCAAGCTTATTGTAGAATCTCTTTTAAGCAAAAAAACACCCCAAATCTTCTTCATCACTCATACTTATAAATTGTCTTTACAAAAGTAGAATTATCAGTAAGTTAGCTCCTGTTTAACTGCTTCATTTGTACTGTCACTGTGCTGTTCTGAGCTGCTCTCAGTCTCAGCAGATGTGTCTAGCAGGTATTGTTTGTTCGCAGTCTCAACAAATGTGTCTGTCGGGTGGCTTTGACAATAGTGATCACATCTGATTCACTTCTTTACCTCTGTACAGACATAAACTTTATTTTTTATAAGAATTAACTTGCTTGTGAAGGTGATGTGGTATAACAGAATGTGTACCTGCAGAGTCTGGGACACTGAGCACTTGCTATATAATACTGATCTATTCAGTATAGCCTTAATTTTGGTAGGCTGGTTGTATTCCATGGTGTAAAAAAATGTTCATCTTCCCTTTAGCATACTCCAGCAGACAAGTGATCATTCCTTGCAAATGAGACCACACCTCAGATTAGGCAGGCAGGTTATGGGCATGATGTGACATTAAATATACCTGAGATCATAGTCTCACAATAACACATTACTCCTTCCAGACTGCACATCTCCACACAAATTGCCCATGGGCCAAAACAGTGTTAGACATGAACAATTTAAACATATGTACAGTCAGGTTCCAATGTCAGGAATATTCCCAAGCATTGTTTAATTCATTTGTATAGGCATTAATAAAGTGTTCACCAGCCTCAGGGGACTCCAGAGTTATGGTAATCAAGTAATTTTCATAAAATAATATATCCAAAGACCATGATTTTTTAGGTCTGTTGTGGCAGGACAAGGGACCATGGTTTTAGACTAAAAGAAGGTAGATTCATTCTAATTAGAAGGAATGCATTTTTTGCAATGAGTATGGTGAAAGACTGGAACAGGTCGCCCAGAGAGGTAGGAGATGCCCCATCCCTGAAAACATTCAAGGTGAGGCTGGATGGGGCTCTGAGCAACCTGACCTAGTGGAAGATGTCCCTGCTCCTTGTGGGGAGGTTGGACTAGATGAACTTTTAAATGTCCCTTCCAACCCAAACCTTTCTATGATTGTATGATTACTGCTTTTATGGATGAGTATCACAGGGGAGAAACTGCTCACTCATGAATTCAGTCAAATCAGAATCAAAGTGGTTTATTGATTGAGTGACAACACATAATTAGCAGACAATCAGTAAATGATACATCTGGGATCAATATCAGCAATAGAGCAGATTAACCACAATCCTAGTTACTTATAGAATGTTAATGAATAACTATAAATTTCCAAAAAGTGAGAAATCCCCCTTGGGGTCACATCTGCATGCTGAAGTAGGGTCCTTACATTCTGCACCCTGCAAGCTAGGGCAGGCTCTTCCATCTTTAATTCCTCTTTACAAGCTGACTCCTCCTTTTGTCAGAAGTGTCTTCATAAATCCCTGTCTTAATTTCTGTTTAATCTGGATAATGCTTGTCTTCCTTTTTAGGGTTAGCTGTCCGGGGGCAAAAACCTTAGACAATTTTGCATGTTCTGTTCATACACCTTCCTGTCCCACCAGCTTTTCCTTTCTAGACCACATCACTGGGTAGGGGAGCAGGTGAGTTCCCACGGCACCCTCATGTAGCCAACACATTTGCTGTTGTGGCTCATTTGCTTCGTGCTTCAGAAAAAAACATGTCCCAGGCAGAATGGTTGTCAAATGCCATTGTTCTCTTTACCTGAAGAAATTCAACAGCAAAATAGATGCTGTATGTACAAGATGCTCATTTTAGATCTCGGTCATATATTGTTTACACACTTGGGATATCACTGAATAAGAAGAAATTAGTCTTGATTATTTTCAGTGAAATAGCTGAATAAAGAAAGTCAAGGTCTTTGAAAATTTTATTGATGTTGTGTATTTTTTTCACTATATCAAAATCAATCACTTTTTCTTCAGTTTATTCTGAGTAAAATGTAAAAATGACTATATAAAGAGATTTCATTTTATATACACGCTTTATTCTTTGTGTAATTTCCAGAAAATGTTTGCCATGGATAATTAACTGGTCTAGTCTTAATTTTTGCTAAGACAAAGAATTTACATTTCCAGTTCTTATTTTAAATTAAATGTGGATATGCATGCATGTGGTTGCACACGACTGTGTGTGTGCATATATATATAAATAAGAGAATCCCATTCAGAAAATATGGTGTGTGTCCCCTCAAAAATACCTCAAACCGACCACTGAGTTTTTCTTCAAAGATGTGAACAAGTGTGAATTATGGTACAACATGAAGTAGATGACACTGCTGGAGGAAAAGAAATAAATAGTAAGCAGGTACAACCAGAATATCAGAAGTAACTATCAGGCAACAGCACTGTCTGCTTTAAAGTGCCTGAAGTCCCTGTCAATTTAGAAGAAAACAAATGAAACTCCCCATTTATCTGGTTCTCTTGTGCAAACTCTAAATGACTTCACCCTGCTCTAGTTCCTCAGGCAAAACCAGAAAATGTCAGAACTGAAGAAGATGTGCCGAGACTCATGACCAGAAGGTTTTCAAGCCGGAAGGCAGAAAAGGATCCCTTTGTGGTTGAAGAAGATGAA